GGATTCCAGGGATTGTTTTTGGATTCTGGCACGTGGTTTGGATTCTAGGAAGTGTTTTTGGATTCTTGCACATGTTTTGGATTCCAGAGATTGTTTTTGGATTCTGGCATGTGTTTTGGATTCTGGGAAGTGTTTTTGGATTCTGGTACGTGGTTTGGATTCTGGGAAGTGTCTTTGGATTCTGGCATGTGTTTTGGATTCCGGGGATTGTTTTTGGATTCTGGCACGTGTTTTGGATTCTGGGAAGTGTCTTAGATTCTGGGGAGTGTTTTGTCCCTACAAGCCACTGTACTTAACTAATAAATTAAAGTGCTGCTACTAAGTATAAAACTAAAAATTAATACAATAAATAGGAAGAGGCAAGCATTACAATGAAAAAATGTAGGCAGAGATGGTGGCTTTAATTTTTGCAGTTGAATCTAGTGTTAAATAGTCAGATGGCAGATTATTCCGGTCAGTGATAGTTCTCTGCCTACCCTGCGAGCAGAAGCTACATTTTTGATGTGTGAGCTTTTGTGCAAAGAGTAGCCTCTGCCAACAACCGTTCAAATCCATCCAGAAATCTGGACGAATAAATTAGAAAAACAGATATTTTCCTGTTCTTGACCGGTTTAGAGCATTGCGCGAGTCTTGTGAGTGTCGTGGCAGAGCAGATCAGAGTTGTCGCAATTTTTTATTCCTGCGAAACTTGTGACATTTGATGACAGACCTGACAGTAAATTTTGCTTGTGAGTCATGTGACGAATTACTCGCATGCATGATAGAAAAATTGAATGGTTGTCAGCAGAGATTACTTTTCTTTCGCACGACAGCTCACACAGCGTAAATGTAGCCTATGCTTGCAGGGTATTCTCTGCCAGAAGCTGTTAATTTGTACGCGTCACAGGATAGCCGAAGTGGAATTAATTTCAGTGGATGAGAGGCCCTTGTTTTTAGGGAGGACTGATGTTGTACATAGCAGAGGAAATCAATAGCGGCCTGGTTGGTAACACATATGTACATCAGCGCCAGTCTAGCTACTTGTCTTCTTTTTTTGAAAGTTGGCCAATTTAGTTGCTTTAGGGCATTGGTTATGCATCCCTCTTCATTCATGTAGGTTCCTGTTCTAGGCTTGTTCTCTGCTCTATAATACTTTCGTAAGGTTGGGTACTCTGGCAAAGTGGCTGAATGGATTGGCTAAAGCAAAAGGGCTGTAAGGCTCCACTCGCCACCCAGGTACCCCATAGATCACTTTCAATAGTCCTTGGCAAAAGCGGAAAAATATATATATATAAAAGGGTCTTAAATTACCTCAAATGCTCAGCACCCAGCGTAAAATATTAGTGCTCTATAAATCTAAAAATCCAATATCTGGTAAGGGGCTGTGATTGGTCGACACAGTAATATTATAATTATTCTTTTTGCTTCTGTTACGAATGATAGACAAAAGCTCAAAAGTTTCAAATTTAAACATGATGAATCTACTGCAAAACAGTCAACTTTTATGGAATATAATTATCCTTTTTTAGAACAGGCATGATTTTAAAACCTTGCCGCCACTCGTTCACAGAAGAACTCAAAACGTAATGATAATAGACTAGAAGAAACATAAATTTGAAGAAATATACATATTTGTAACCTCATGACTATCAGGTTAATGGTGCTAACGTAACATTTATTTACTTCATCAGTATGGCATTTCTGTATATTATTGAGGCACTCCAAATGCATACAATATCTTTATGTGAATAAATACAGTGGAACCTCTGTTAATAGGACTCCCTTGGGACTAAAGCAAGTGTCCCCTGGATAGAGGTGTCCCCTGAATAGAGGTTGGGCTGGTATTTGTTTATGATATTTATAAAACAATAAACAAAATATGTTTCTTTTAATCTACCATGGAATCTGCTGCAGTCATAATCTCAAGCAGCTAGATAATGTATAAACTAGTAATAACCAAAGGTTGTGGAATCAAGCGACATCCATCAAGGGCCAAAATGCTTTTGCTTCAATGCTGTGCTTTGCATAAGATTCAGGTTATAAATAATGCTCAAAACAGGTGTGATTAGATTATGAGAGATGGAGGGTCCAAATGCATGTCAGATCAGTGAGATTGCATTCATTCCAAGTGTGAGTCCAAATGAAGCTGGCTATATACGTGCGATGCATCCGTAATAGCAACCTGGAGATTGTGATTGCAGGCTCCTCTTGTTGCCGGAAAAACTCATGATTAACTTATCTCTGTGATATTGTGTGTTGAATTTCCACAAGTGCAGTACATTGATTTAAGAGAGATAGTCCATGTTGTGAAAGCTGTCATCATTGCATTAGTGTACACATGAACTTATCAATACTTTTTGTGAGCTGTGACAGTTTGAGTGCTAAGATGTCCCTTGAACTGAGGGTTTTGGGAGAACCAGAAAAAGTGTCCCTTTCCCCTGAATAGAGCCAAGAGGTGTCCCTTCAATAGAGGTAACACATAAAAAGATTATGTGAACGTTTTTGGGGGAACAAATTTTGTGTCCCTTGAATGGAGGTGTCTCGAGGGAGAGGTTTTGCTGTAGTAATTTATTTAGCTGTCTGTGTTTTGGATAAACAGTTGTCTTAACACTTACTAATTTGTCAATTTTAGGTAAAAGATGTCTGGAAACCTTTAGTGTTGTTTCATTCAGTATACTGTCAAGCGTTGTTTTATTCTTCTTGTGCAAGAATTTTAAGCTCAGTGAGGTCAAGTCAATCACATGTGCTTCTGGTAAGTGGAATAATAATTTTGTTGGATTTTTAGTTACCTAAGTTACTTGTCAAGAAAGAAAATCTAGTTGTCCTGGACTACCAGATGGGAACTTTTCAATCCTTGGGTGGTATTTCAGAGGTACTAAGGTCCCTGTAAACAATAATATTATTGTAGAACATGATAGCTGTAATTATTAGACTGAATGATCAGTCTTGCTGGCATAAGCAGTGAGACTCATAATCTGCATCCATTTTTCTTCTTTGTATTTAGGACATAAAAGGGGGGTTGGGGAACCACGCGTTCCTAGCAGAGACGGTGGAAACTGTGAATAGGAATATTATTGACCAAAGCCATGCATGTCTTGTGAAGAAAGCTTAATAAATGCAATTAAGAGCTTTTCCAGAATGGGTCAGTCCATGAATTCTATTCTCTGAAAGAGCTGATAACCTTGGAATCAGTGAACACTTCAGTGAAAATATAAAAATATTAATTATAGCAAAGGTTAACTGGTTGAGTGTTGTAAACTTAATTTATTCAAATGAATCTTGTGATGAGCATGCGGTCTATTTTTGGCGATGATTGGCATGACGTGCCATGTTCTCATCTTGTTTTTTAACTCTTACAATGATGTAATTTCTCTCAAATCAAGGCCCTTGAATTTTTGTGCAATTATACAAGCGTATAGTGTGCTACCGTAGACATATCTCTGGTCGTTGCTAACATGCATACTAAACCAATTAAGAACCAAATCAACTGATACAAAAAGTAAATATCCTGAAGAATACTCGACCATTAATAAAGTAGGAAGTGAAAAACCTTTAGCAAGTAAATCCTGTTTCATCTAGAATTAATCGTCTCCTCATTTTTTATCTAATCTTCAAGCAAGCAAGACTTAACGGCGATATTAAGAGCATTCTTTTTTTGTCACAAAACATAACCAATGCATGTACAAGAAGGCCTAAATTCCTTAATAGGGACAAAAGATTTGACTTTTCACCCACCTCAGTTCTCTTCTGGGCCCGATTTCTCGAAAGGCCGAGGAACTTTTCGGGCCTGAAGACAAATTTTGAATTTAAGACTTGTTGAATAGTAGCACAGTTCCCAGCTCACAAACCAATCAATTTTGCTGCATTAACTGATAGTTTCATTGTATCATTTTCAAATTATTGAAACTTTGATCTTGAATGTAAACACTGCAAAGACAAAACAGCTTTCCATGCCTGAAAAGTTACTGGGACTTTCAAGAAACAGGTCCCTGGCCCCAGTTTTCCTGAAAAGTTGGATAAATCCACATTCACAGTATAGCACTATTGGTTTCCCTAATACTTATCCGCTGTATAGTCATTTATCCGGTGGATAGCGCTATCCAGCTTTTGAACAACTTGGACCAGTCTTTTGAGATTATGGCGTTCACATCCATGAAGTCACATGATGTAAATTATCAGTTGGATGGTCTAAATTACTGATTTGAAAAAAAAATATGAACTTGTAATTTCAATTCACCTTGAGTCAAATAGCCTTAAATGATGTATAAAACCATGAATGACCTTGCTCTGGAATATCTACTAAGTCTTTTTCTTTCAGCGTCACTCTGCTTACAACAGTAAGAAACTCTGAGGGAAGGCTGACCCTGTCCAAACTAAGCACCTGCCCAATAATATTATTATTATATATTATATATATTATTATTTGAAACAAAGCTTCTGTTACAGTTGGGCCACATAATTTATGGAATAACTTGCCCAAAAGCTTAAAAAATGCTGCATCTATTGAGCATTTTAAGCAAAATATCAAGAAGGTAGCTGATATATCAGATTCCCACAGGGCAATCATGATTTCCTGTGTTTAAATAAAGATTTACATACGTACATACATACATACATACATACATACATACATACATACATACATACATACATACATACATACATACATACATACATACATACATACATACATACATACAATTAGGTAAAAGATGTCTGGAAACCTTTAGTGTTGTTTCATTCAGTATACTGTCAAGCGTTGTTTTATTCTTCTTGTGCAAGAATTTTAAGCTCAGTGAGGTCAAGTCAATCACATGTGCTTCTGGTAAGTGAAATAATAATAATATTATTATTGTTGGATTTTTAGTTACCTACCGGTAAGTTACTTGCCCAGAAAGAAAATCTCGTTGTCCTGGACTACCAGATGGGAACTTTTCAATCCTTGGGTGGTATTTTAGAGGTACTAAGGTCCCTGTAAACAATTATAATAGAACATGATAGCTTTAATTAGACTAAATGATTAGTCTTGCTTGCATAAGCAGTGAGACTCATAATATGCAAGCCGTTTTTCTTCTTCGTATTTAGGCCATAAAAGGGCGGTGGTAGTCCCAGGCGTTCCTAGCGGAGATGGTGGAAACTGGGAATATGAATCATTGACTGAAGCCATGCATGTCTCGTGAAGAAAGCTTAAGAAAGATTAATAAATGCAATTTAGAGCTTTTCCGGAATGGGTCAGTCCATGAATTCTATCGCTTGAAAGATTTGATAACTTTGGAACAAGTGAACACTTCAGTGGTTGGAAAAATAGAGAAAAATATTAATTAGCAAAGGCTAACTGATCGGGTGTTGTAAACTTAATGTATTCAAATGAGTCTTATGATGAGCATGCAGTTTATTTTTGGCGATGATTGACATGACGTGCCATGTTCTCATCTTTTGTGTCATTATACACGCGTATAGCGTGCGACCGCAGACATATCTCCACTTGTCGCTAACATGCATACTAAACCAATTAAGAACCAAATCGACTGATATATAAAGTAAATATCCTGAAGAATACTCGACCATCAATAAAGTAGGAAGTGAAAAACCTTTAGCAAGTAAATCCTGTTTCATCTAGAATTAATGGCCTCCTCATTTCGTATCTAATCTTCAAGCAAGCAAGACTTAATGCCGATATTAAGAGCGTTCTTGTTTATCACAAAACATAACCAATGCATGTACAAGGAGGCTTAAATTCCTGAATTGACTGTCCACCCACTTCAGTTCTCTTCTGGGTCCCATTTCTCGAAAGGCCCAGGAACTTTTCGGGCCTGGGGCCCGTTTCTCAAAAGTCCCGGTAACTTTTGGGGGCTCGAAATCAAATATTCAAATCAAAATGTAAAGAATAAGAGTGCTGCTCCTGGCTTGCAAACTACTCCATTTTGTTTCATTAACTGATAGTTTTATCATGTTAAATGCAAAACTATTAAAACCTCGATCTTTAATGTAAACGGAGACAGCTTACCGGGCCCGTTAATAATCGGGACTTTCGAGAAACCGGCCCCTGAACACAAATTTTAAAGTTCAGACTTGTTGAATAGTAGCACAGTTCCCAGCTCACAAACCAATCAATTTTGCTTCATTAACTGATAGTTTCATTGTATCATTTTCAAATTATTGAAACTTTGATCTTGAATGTAAACACTGCAAAGACAAAACAGCTTTCTATGCCTGAAAAGTTACTGGGACTTTCAAGAAACAGGTCCCTGGCCTCAGTTTTCCTGAAAAGTTGGATAAATCCCTATTCAGGAGATAGCACTATTGGTTTCCCTAATACTTATCTGCTGTATAGTCATTTATCCAGTGGATAGTGCTATCCAGCTTTTGAACAACTGGGACCAGTCTTTTGAGATTACAGTGTAGGCATCTATGACGTCATGTGATGTCAACTATCAGTTGGATGGTCTAAATTACTGATGAGGCCTGGCTGATTTGAAAAAATTAAATTTACTTGTAATTTCAATTCACCTTGAGTCAAATAGCCTTAATGATGTATAAAACCATGAATTACCTTCCTTCGGAATATCTACGAAGTCTTTTCTCTCAGCATCACTCTGCTTACAACTTAAGAAACTCTGAGGGAAGGCTGACCCTGTCCAAACCAAGCACCAATTATTTGAAACGAAGCTTCTCTTACAGTGGGGCCACGTTATGGAATAACTTGCCCAAAAGCTTAAAAAATGCTTCATTCATTGGGCATTTTAAGCGAAATATCAAGAAGCTGGCTGATTATTGGATTCCCACACGGCAATCACGTAAAGCAGTTGTAATTAGTTTTAGTTTTTAACTTATTAATAAGCGTAACTGATGATTTCCCGTGTTTGAGTAAAGATTTACATACATACATACATAGTTTTTAAACATCCCTACACGTGTTGCACATGTTCAATCTGAATTTCATAACAGAGGTGACCACAGTCACTATGTCTTTGGACTGGGTTTCTTTCTGGAAATCATGCTGTTAAAATACTATTTTTAGGAGCTTAACAATGATATGGTTTACAGATGTATATTTATCAAAACAAGGAAAATTGGAAACTGGGCTGTTTCCTTTCGTCTTGCTAGTGTTAATTTGTCTTCTTCAAAATTGTAAAGAATAAGGTAACTTTTTCCCAGTCAGTTATATGATTTTTAAACCTAACCTATGTAAATGATGTTAAGGAGTTCAGGCCAGCATAAGCTGGAAAAATTTAAGCCTTGAAAACATTAAATTTTCTCATGCTGTGTCTGACTTTGACAGTGAGGAGGATTCTAAAGGGGTTTCATATTTTGTTTCATAGTTGCTGGTGTCCTTGTCGCAGATTTTTGTTCTGGATTCGTCCACTGGGCAGCAGACACATGGGGCTCCGTGGACATTCCAATTTTTGGTAGAGCTTTTATCCGCCCTTTCAGAGAGCACCATGTGGATCCCACAGCCATAACAAGACATGACATCATTGAGACAAATGGCGACAACTGCCTGCTAACTTTACCTGGATTGCTCTACATGGTCTATCGTTACCTCACTTTTGACCAAGAAACTTTACAAGCTTCTTATGGAGTAGAATGTTTTGTGTTTTCACTGGCTATCTTTGTTACCCTCACCAACCAGATCCACAAATGGTCCCATACGTACTTTGGTCTGCCACTTTGGGTCCAGAAACTGCAGGACTGGCACATAATCCTGCCTCGCAAACATCATCGCATCCATCATGTGTCTCCTCATGAGACATACTTCTGTATCACAACTGGCTGGCTCAACTATCCACTGGAACTCATCAAGTTCTGGCCATGTTTAGAATGGATGATTGAAAGAGCAACAGGAGTCAAACCCAGGTCTGATGATTTCAGGTGGTCGGGAAAATCAGAATAATAATGCATTGACATTTTGAAGCTTGAAAATGTAGTGATCACAAGCTGCTGGAATTTCCCATGTGATGACAAGTTCTTGTTACACCAGCTGACACTTTAGTTTCCTGGCAAGGTTAGGCTTACAACCCATTCTTTGTAGCTATTTAATTTGCTCAGCTAGCTTTCTTTCTTCAACTGGTCATCAGATACCTCTGTATCCTGGTATAACCAAATTTTTGGAGTCAACATTATTAAGAGCTATAGTGATTTAAATGGTGCAAAGAATGAAGAAATGAAATTCTGTGTTTAAGACAGTGTTTCTTTTTACTGGTATATGTTTCTTCACATGCTGCCTTAAGCGATATCTGCATGGGCACAAAAAATATTAACTTCCATCCTGAAAAACCTTACTGAGAACAAAATCTATAAAGTAAATCTCTTAAGTGAGACGACAAGCTTTTCAGACTGTATGGGAGTTACCCCTGGGCCAGAGTGTGCTATGCTTCTCAATATTATGACTTTATGTGAAAGATAGTACATGCTATTGTTGCTATGGTAACCACCTTTCCTCAGAAAGCAGCAAAAAATTAAACTATCATAAACTTGGTGATGTTTGAAGAAAATATTAGAGTTTAGTCATTCATACAATGTAAAGATTGTGAATTTTCACAGATGCATCCCAAATGAAACAAAACCAGTTTTGAGAGCCTCCTTAATTAACCATGCTTCTAGTAACTAACTCGAGACTCAAATAGCCTTTGATTTATAGTAATGTCTCAGAAGTAAACATCTTTGGAACAGAAATTGATATGATAAAAATGGTACTGAAGAAAGCCTTTCCTTAGATCTGTTTGTTAAGTTTTGAAATTTTGGGCCAAAAACTTTGTGTCAAAATATTTAGTTTGCTTCACCAGGTAAACAAACATCTATAAAATGAGACCTGTTTTTGTGTTTTCTTTACAAATTATTATTCTACTAATATATATTATTATTAATAATATTAATATTAAATTATATTGAATGATCTCTAATTTCCTTTGTATTTTAGAGATGAATATATTGTTGGGAGAAAATCACTCTTCATACTCCTGCAAAATTTAGAGAATGTCTTATTTATTATATGCAAGAGTGTCTAGAGCTTTTTTCGATAATTGTCACTGATATTTGCAGTCTTCTTTTGATGATGAGGCTGTCCCCAAAATGCTCTGTAGATCAATGAAGAAGAGATCCAGGTGAATTAGAAAAGCTTTGGCAAAGCTTTCTAAATGTTGACGGTGTATGAAGAGTATTTTGTTTTCTATTTAAGTCCTAACAAGAGAAGAATCTTTATCTCTCATGAATAATATAGTCCTATATTTGTTATTAGTAAAATCCAACCAGTGGTATATTATCAATGCTGCATTCTGATTGGTTAAGCTACTACTAGGCTATATGTTATAGCCCACTAGTAGTGAAAAGTGCCGGCTTTTTGGCGGCAAAAAAGGGTTAAAGTCTAGATTGGTTAAGCTACTACTAGGCTATATGTTATAGCCGACTAGTA